GAGAAAGGAAAGTCAATTTCGGTCGAACGTCACTCCTAAAAATTTACTTCGGGCGCAACTGGAATAATTGTACCATTTAGATATAACTCAGGTTCAGGATGGAGACCTCGCTTCCTACAAAAGTGCACGCACACAGTTTTCTGTTTCGAAAAAGTAAATCCCTGTTTGTCTGACCATTCTTGGATCTTATTCAGAGCCATCTGCAATTGCCTCTCTATGTATCTCATGTCTGCTCCTCGACAGCTAATCTGTAAATCATCTACATATAGTGATCCCAAGATGGTGGGAGGAAGTTCTTTTAGTACAGAGTTTATTTTTAAACTGAACAGGGTTACACTAAGCACACAGCCTTGAGGCACACCCTCTTCCTGTTCAAAAACATCCGAAAAAACAGAGCCAATCCTTACTTGAAAAGTTCTAGCGTTTCAAGAAATTCTGAATGAAAATTGGTAGGTTGCCGCGCAAGCCACTCTCGTGAAGATCCCGAAGTATACCGTATCTCCATGCCTTATCATAAGCTTTCTCAATGTCGAAGAATATTGAGACAAGGTGACTTCTTCTGACAAAGGCTTTTTCGAATAGATGTCTCTAAGAGGAGCATGTTATCTACGGTTGTTCTCCCCTTTCGAAAACCGGTTTCATAAGGCGATATAATATTATTCTTCTCCAAGAAGTAGACTAGGCGGCTGTTTACCATCTTTTCAAACAGTTTGCATACGCAACTCGTAAGGGCAATTGGCCGATAGTTCGAGGGATTCCTTGGATCTTTCCCTGGCTTAGCAATAGGAATGACAACAGCTCTCCTCCATGCACTGGGAAAAGTACGCTCCTTCCACACTCTATTGTAAAGAGTGAGAAGGGCCTCAGTGACTTATAGGACAGATGCTTTAGCATTTCATAATTCACGCCATCAAAACCCGGAGAAGACCTATGTGTCTGCAATAAAGCTCTCTTAATTCAACCATAGTAAAGTCTCTATTGTAAGGCTCAGATTTGGAAGAGTTGAATGCGATGGGATTTATTTCAGAGTGCTGCTTGATAGAGAGAAATGCAGGTGAATAGTTTCTGCTGGAAGAAACGGCAGCAAATGTCTCACCAATAGTATTCGCAATTTCTTCTATGGAGCTAATCACTCGGCCATCTTTTTCCAAAAAGGAAAGTGAGTGGTCTTTATACGATAGATTCCGCATGCTTTTCGAACTCTTTCCCAAACCCGCTTACTAGGCGTAGAGGATGTAATTGACGACACATATGAAATCCAAGAATTCCCTCTGGCTCTGCCTTCTTACTTTTCGTGCGTTTGCTTTGGCTCTTTTAAAGGCTATGAGGTTTCGCAGAGTAGGATATCTACGAAAAATACCCCATGCTTTTTTCTGTTTTTTCAGTGCTTCATGACAGTCGCGATTCCACCATGGTTTCGAATATTTTAGCACTTTTCCTGATGTTCTAGGAATCGAAAGCATAGCTGCCTGAATAATAGTATTTGGTAACCAGCTTCACAGCATCATCGATATGCGCAAATCTTTCTACCATTTCATCTGTGAGCTCTGCAATGGAAGAGAAGAGTTCCCAGTCTGCCCTATCCAGTATAAATCGAGGAGGTCTCGACATGGGGTTTGCTCCTCTTCGTGCAAGAGATACAAAAATGGGATAATGATCGCTGTTGTAAAGATCATTTTCCCACACTAAAAGTGCAAAATGGGCAACAGATGGTGAACAGATGGCAAGGTCGAGAGCGTGGAATGTCCTTGAAGGCTCATGGAAGTAAGTATCCTGCCCATTATTCAGGAGACAAAGGCTGTGATCTTCGATCATCCTGCTCAATTTGTCTTCCTCGGCAATTTGTATCTTTACTACCCCAGAGCAGGACTATGGCCGTTAAAATCTCCTATTATGATAAAAGGCTCAGGCAGCTGCTCTAAAAGATTATTTAAATCTTGCTGATCAATGTGCTCATTTGGAGGCAAATAAAGAGAAAACGATGAAACAACAATATCAAAATTTATTTGTAGTAGCGACAACTTGGAGGGATGTCGTCAAAGGAAAGGACATTTGAGGGATAATCCAGTGAGGTGAGGAGACATACACCTCCACTGGCACGCTCACCTGCAAGGTTATCCTTTCCTGACGAAGAGAAAACCTCCGAAGTTTTGCATGTTGTTCTGGTTTCAGATTTGTTTCCTGTATTGCGAAGCACACAGGATGATAAGCATTGATCATAGCTTTGATGTCAAGGAAATTTCGGTGGAAACCGCGACAGTTCCATGAGACGAGGGTGGCCATGATGATTGTTGTTTGTTTCTTCTGTGTTCCTTTTTAGTTTTGCGCGGGAGTAGATGTTCAGGAATTTCCAATCCATCCTCCACTTCCATAACTGTCTGAATCCGCAGAATTCAGAAATCGTTTCATTTACAGAGCTATTGCTGGGACTTCTATTTTTGTTAATTGGTTTTGGAGGATTGTTTTTGGTGTACTTTGAATAACTATTTCTTTATTTTGTACGACATGTGTTGCATTTTCCTTTTTCTTGTTTGCAGGATTGCTCGGTTTTATTTGGGTTGGAGTCTGTGTGCGTAGGGAAGTTTGGGTGGCTATAGTGCGTGTTGATTTAACGGCACTGGCGTATGATTTCTTTGATTGAGGCTGCGTTTGCTTTGAACTTGTCTCCTGGCTTCGGCATATGAAATGTTCCTAGAAACTTTTATGGTCTGAACTTCCTTTTCAAATTTCCATTTTGGACAAGAAGCGAGAAAATGCTGGGTGATCACCCTTGCAAGTTTAACACACAATGGCGCAGCGGTGCAATTCTCACTATCGTGGCCAACCAATGAGCATCTGGCGTACGTAAGGGTGCCACGACACTTAGAACATCTTAGAATGGACCAAAACGCTGGCATTGGAAGCATCGCATGGGTTTTGGAATATGGTCTTACGGGGACAATTTAGATATCCAGCCTTAATAGTCTTCGGCAGATCAGGCGATTTGAAGGTCAGGATCACGTGTTTCGTGTCAATCAACTGACCTTCCTTTCGCATCTTGATCCGCCTAACACCACAGACATTTTGGTCAGCTAACTCGGAGACGAACTCTTCTTCTGAAACACACAGAAGGTCGAATCTCCGAGATCACGCCTCTACAGGTATTAAGTGTTTTGTGTGCTGACACTGTTATAGCTACTTTGTCCAAGTTTGGGTTTGACAGTAAAGTGAAGCAGATTGGGTGGCCGAAAGGGTATCAATGAGCAAGTCTCCAGAACGGAGACGCTTTATGTTCTTGGCTCACCAATACACAGGAATGAATGTATTGCTGACCAGGAAAGGAGACATCTTTTGCAATTCTCAGAGGCACTGGAAACAACACAAAGCGCGGACAATCAGCAGATTCTTTAACATTTCCATCGGTACGGATCTTCTTTGTAATGGATTTGTCACCAACTTCAATATCTTTGGTATTTTCATCAGCACGGATCTTCTTGTTAATAGATTTGTCGACAATTTCTATATCTTTGTTGGTATCATTTGATTCGGGTTTTTTTAAAATAAAAAGGGAAGCCATGATTGAAAAATATAAGATTCGGGTCCGACGGCCCCGCCCACCACGGAGCCCAACAAGGGAACACAGATTCCTGTGTTAGGGCTAGCCGGAACTATACGCAAACTGAAGCCCCACAGTCGGCTTTCCCGAAAGCAGGTACTCCCGAGAGCTTGACCCCAAGCCACTGACACAAGGACTAGTGACCAGCCGATTGACACCCGTGAGGACGAATAAGGTGCCACCCGTTTAGCTGAAGCAGAGGCCAAAGCAGTGTGTTGGGGACAGTACCTCGTCCCTCAACTACCAGGACCCTCCTTTCCAGCGACACAGGTCTCCACGCACGGCAAACACGCGGGCAGTTTTCTCGCCACTCGAAGACTAGAGACAAGGGCTGTTCCAGTCTCTCGTGACGAGCCCCAAACTCCGAAGAGAGAAACCACGAGGGAGAAGAGAAGGGAAAAAGTTCCAGCCAAGAGGAGAGGAGACGGAAAAGAGGATAGATCACTGGGGCTCCAGAATCGTGACACCCGTCTCACCAAGAAGATGATCCCCTGAAGGGCTAGGGTACCTCGGGATTGCCACACCCGTACTCACAAAAGTGAGCCCCCTGAGGTGAGAAATAAGTAAAGAGACCACACGGTCAAGTAGAGAGACTTATGCCCAAAAAGCGGCTAAGAAACCACGAGAAAGGTCGACATTTAGATCTCGATCAGTGAAACGTAAACCTGAAGAAGAACACATAGTGTTCGTATACCCGAAAGATGACAAAAAGACTTCGGAGGAAGTCAAAGAGAAACTCGTGAAAAATATAAATCCTACACATTTAAAAGTGGGAATTAAGCGAGTAAAAAAGATAAACAAAGGTGGTGTCCTAATTCAAGTTGCTCAGAAAGAAGAGCTAGAACTTCTTGAACAGGCAATTAAAGATAATTCATCTTTAAAACAGATCGTAGAAACGAAGCGTCCGACCAGGGTAAATCCCAGAGTCATGATTTATAACGTCAGTGATGAGATAAACAGGGATAACATTGTCGAGATAATTCGTACGCAAAATTACGAATTCGAAAAGCGAATATTGAAGTAAAATTTGCGATGAAAGGCAGATACGGCACTAACTGGGTCCTATCGGTTGACCCGGAGACTTTCAAAACTATGAAAGCAAAGCAAAAAGTTAATTTGCAATGGAGTAGACATACAGTGAGAGAATTTATTAGAGCTACTCAGTGCTTTAATTGCTTTGGCTACGGCCACACTCAACGAAGCTGTAAGGAAGTTATGAAATGTTCGAGATGTGGAGAAACCGGCCATCTGAAGGCGGCCTGCTTGGGAAGTGAACCTAAGTGTACAAATTGTGCACATGCCAATGAAAAATATAAATTGGAATTAAAAACGGATCATGATGCTAAATCTAAGACATGTCCTACATACAAAAGAGAACTAGATCTATATAAAAGGAAAATCAACT